CTGCAGCTATTTATAATGTGACTCAGTCAATCCAAGAATTCTAAACAACAAAGAAGTCTTTGTAGGACATTCAGGATGTAAATATGGTTTTCTGAAAAGGACATTTACTTTAGGGTAAGAACGCTTGGCATTGCTATAATGCCAACTTGTAAAACTTTTTTAAAAATGTCAAAATATGTCACACTTATTTACCTTAACCCCTTAAGGACACATGACATGTGTGACATGTCATGATTCCCTTTTATTCCAGAAGTTTGGTCCTTACGGGGTTAAGTAAGGGGAGGGGGAATAAAGTGTAATATAAAAAAAAAAAATACCAGATCCAGGATTTAACTTCACAAATTAGTAACTTAATTCTAAAAAGAATCTTCCTCGACCCGGTATGACTAAGCAATATTGAGGAGTTTAGATATCCCCTTACACCTCACTATGCAACCACAACAATCTTACAACAAAAAGCTCTTCTCTTCATTGGCCTCTCTTCCTTCACACCTTGTGTGGTGGAGTGGGTAGAGGCCACATGAATAATCACCACTTCTTCCTCCACACATTAGCCTTTGGTGTGGAATTTAACTCATGAAAAGAGGGAGGGGTGGTCCAAAACTCCCCTCTCTCAATGGTCCAGGAGATGGTGGCCAGACCTTTGATACCAATACGGATTACAGTGTCCCAAGAAGAATTACGTGGCCAGATGCTGACTTTCCACGGGTTTTTCTAGACTTGGGACCACCAGGGGAGTGGGAAGTAACTGGTGGCCAATTAGGGAAAACAATTCATCAAGTCATGTAGAAGAATCCCTGTTTGTATTGTTTTTTAATAACATGGGGAAACATTGAAAGTCCCTTCCAGTTATTTGAAGGTATTATAGACATGAAAAATTTATTATTCAGTGTCTGGCATCTTTGCTTTACTGGGCACTGGAAACATTAAGTGATCGATAGCTAGGGATGCTCTACATGAGTAGTTAAAGGACCACTCTAGGCACCCAGACCACTTCAGCTTAATGAAGTGGTCTGGGTGCCAGGTCCAGCTAGGGATAACCCATTTTTTCATAAACATAGCAGTTTCAGAGAAACTGCTATGTTTATGAATGGGTTAAGCCTTCCCCTAATCCTCTAGTGGCTGTCTCATTGACAGCCACTAGAGGCGCTTGCGTGCTTCTCACTGTGATTTTCACAGTGAGAGCACGCAAGCGTCCATAGGAAAGCATTGTAAATGCTTTCCTATGCGACGGGCTGAATGCGCGCGCAGCTCTTGCCGCGCGTGCGCATTCAGCCGGCGGGGCCGGAGGCGGAGGAGAGAAGGAGGAGAGCTCTCCACCCAGCGCTGGAAAAAGGTAAGTTTTTACCCCTTTCCCCCTTCCAGAGCCGGGCGGGAGGGGGTCCCTGAGGGTGGGGGCACCCTCAGGGCACTATAGTGCCAGGAAAACAAGTATGTTTTCCTGGCACTATAGTGGTCCTTTAACATTTTTGACTTTGATTGCTGAGACTTCCTTTAGTTTTTTTGTTTTTTAACCATTGTCGTGCGTTCTGATTCTAATCACATAGAAGGCTTTGCAGCAGCACAGGCATTAAATGTCTTGGTTAAAATAGAAATGTAAAGCCAGTAGCTTTGAAAAAAGGTATATGTGTTTTAGCACCCAAACTACAAGTCGTAGTGGAGAGACATCACCTCTGGCCTTAAAGGACCACTAAAGTCACCCAGACCACTTTATCTCGGTGAAGTGGTCTTCTTGGTTCTGTGGTCCTGTTATTTTAAGAAAATAAAAAATTATAGGTCACGCCACAATAGAAACAAATGATATGATATAATAAAACCAATAGTGTACTTATATGCTAAAATACAAAATATTTAAAAGGAATAGTCTTGGTAATAAGATACAGTAAAAATAAAAATAAAATTAGGTCGCGCCACAGTAGACAATAAAATAATATGATTACAGTAGTGTACTTACATAAATAAGACAAATTGAAATATATAATAGTCCTGATTTTAGGAGACCAACTTGACTTGCGGATCTTGAGTGTGATATAGGTCTGTTTGTAGTGAAGATCTTAAAGTATTCAGATTCTCTTAGTTCAGTTTAGAATATGCAAATGAAAAGGAGAGCTCCAATAGTGTACACTGTATCCAACAGTAGAGCGAAAAAGAAACTTCACAACTACTCACCTATTAAAGAGCTAGTCCAAGCTCAGGTGTAGATAACATTCAATGGTGTTGATCCCCCACTGGTAGGATGTAGGTGGTGGTTGATGGTGTGTAGCTTGAAGTGAAGGTTGTATTTAGTGAGCAGGTTATACTGCTCACTATAATAGTGTGGGTGGTAAAATCCCCACCTTAGGATTCTTGGATGAGTATGTTCTGCGATATTCTTGGTGTCCAGGTTAAAAAAATAAAATACTTTTTCAGCCAGAATAGATTATATTCTTCTTTAATTCAGTTTTTGGACTTTAAATGGTGGGGAAGATTCTGTAACCAGACCGGAAGTGAAAACTAGCATGCATCAACACCACTGAATGTTATCTACAACTAAGCTTGGACTAGCTCTTTAATAGGTGAGTAGGAATACCCTTGCTGTGAAGTTTCTTTTACCAGGACTATTCCTTTTTAAATGTTTTGTCTTTTAACATATAAGTACACTATTGGTTTTATTATATCATATCATTTGTTTCTATTGTGGTGCGACCTCTAATTTTTTGTTTTCTAGATTTGAACTTTTGACGGTCTGTGAGGGAATGTCATACCCTTAGGTTGCAGCCTACCTTTTCTTTATTTCTTTTTTAGCTTCCCACTAGCCACGAAGCACTGAACCCACTACTGTTTGTTCATTTTCCTGTTATTTTAACCCTGCAATCTAAAAGATTCATTTCTTTTTACATTGCAGGATTAAATCCACTTCTAGTGGCTTTGCACCAGGTCCTCGTCTCTGGTGGTGGCAGTGGTGACCAGCACCGCAGAAGTATCAGCGCTAGAAAAGGTGAGTAAAAAATGAATTTGAATAATTTTATGATGAACTGGGGTGGATGAAGGCATTAAACTATTTAAGGACTGGGACACTACAGCATTAGGAATACAGGTCTGTGTTCCTAGTGCTACAGTTTTCCTTTAAGAGACTTGAGAGTTCTGTGCGCTAGATGAGTCAATAAATGTGTGGGCTGTTTTCCCACTACGGAAACTGAATATATAATATATACTAGTATTTGTTATAACGAGACTAGCATATTCCATTGATCCATTGTTTATTTCAACAAAAGATCAATGTTGTAAAACTATTGAGCAAGTCGTTAGGTGCTATTTTACTTGTAAAACTCCACTTTATCACTTACTGTGCTTTTTGTTACGAATGTTGCAGTAATATTTGCTCTTCTCTCCCGAGATTCCCCAATTAATCTCACTCCTTTGTACTTCTGAAAATGCCAGTGTTCATCACGGCGGCAATAATATCAAATAATAAAATGTCAGGCTTGGACTGATGAAATCGATTCCCTAACTGCAGCAATACCCAAGTGATAGAGTGATAGAAATACATATTACAGACCTTAGAGTAGTTAGACAGAATGGAAAAAAATTACCTTAGAAAAGGAGAATCTAATAAACAATAATAGGTGCAAGCCAAAGTTAGGGACCGCACCAGTTTGGATAGTCGGCAAAGACACCAGTGGGCTGTAAGGAGAGCAGACAGAGACTGATTAAATAGACCTGCTGGGTCTGGAGTTCAGAAGAACAAAAAAAGTAGGTTTGGGTACACTCAGTAGTTTCTTCAGCAGGTAGACTTTATTATGGAGTACAAAAATTTAGACAACGTTTTGGCTCCCCGTGAGCCTTTGTCAAATCTTTCTGAAATGTAGTCTACATTTTTGTACTCCATAATAAAGTCTACCTGCTGAAGAAACTACTGGGTGTGCCCAAACCTACTTTTTTCTACCACTGGCTTGGTTTGGGCTGGGGCCCTCCATGTTTTGGAGCACCCTAATGGAAGTAGTCCCCGAAAAAGTGTGTGTGCAAGGACCTATGAAAATTCTACAAGACAAGTGGAGTTCAGAAGGCAGGATTGAGAAAGCCAGCAAAAATGACAGAATACACTCAGAACACTCCTAACCATTCAAAACCATGAACAGGCACTACGACTGCTGCAACATATCCATAAAATGTGATGCGGCCCATAACTGTGCAAACCATCATTGTGCTCCCTCATCAATGAATGATGGCAGGATAGAGAACCCAATGGCACTCATTCTGCTAAGACATATAGATGACATCAGTAAGCATGCGTCCTGACAATAGTAAGAAAATCTCATGTAAAACCCGTCAGCCGTGATGTTCAGAATCAATATCTGACGAAGAAACTTTTAAATACATTTCTAAATCAAGACATTTGACTGAAAATGTGCTAATTTAAGCAGAAACAATTTCACTCGTGGCTAGTAGCCAGTGAAGCTCAACTCTGCATTTTTTTAGAATCGTTGGATTTAATCTTATCAGATCCCTTGTGACTTCTATCCTTAGCTTACTTTTGTTCTAGAAAGAGTTGGCTCTGACTTCTAATATCTAATCGTACTGAGAAAGAATGGCATGTAACCACACTGGTACTAGTAATACAACAACACTAACTGTACCTTTTTATTATAAATAATAGATTTCTAGATTCAAATTTTGGATTTTAATTATTATGAAGCTTTGCTTTTTTTTTTTTTGCACTCTGTTTTGTGAGAAAAAAACAAGTGGTCTTCCTATTTATACATACATAAGGAAATAGGCGGAGTATAATATTGCTGCAAAAGACAAAACAACATGGCCAAAGCCTAGTGCAATATAGTTTGGTCTAATCAAAATAAACAAACATGTGATTCTAATGGTATGGTACTCACAAAGATGGAGCCAATATAAGAGGCTCACCACAGGCACAGGTGGGGAAGTTGGACGGGACCCCACTTCATTTTGTTGCTTTAGGAGTCTTCCTGTTTGCCCAGTAATTCCACTGCACGTGAATTCCAGTGTCAGGAAATTCTTTATTAGTGCAAAAAAATAAAAATAAAAGATAAGATAAAATAGTAAATGGGTACAATGTATAAAGTCCAGAATAATTGGTGAAAGCTTGCAAGACGCGTTTCGCCTATTAGAAGGCTTCTTCAGTTGCTTGTAGATCTTATCCAGCATTCAGTCGTTCTTATATACCTCCCTTTAATTCCTCATTACGGTCACCTGATGTCGTCAATCGGTTACGTCTTTTTCTGATGAAGCGGATTCTCGCGTCTCTTCTCAGTGACGTAATTTTGCTCAGTCCGTATTTGGAATACATTCTTGCGTTCCACCGTACAATTAAACTTTATTGTCCATAACGTTATTGCATATTACGTGCATGTTCAAAGAGAAAAGGAAAAGGGATAGTTATATAAGTCCTCAGTTATTAATAACGAAAAATTGAAAAAATACAAAAATGCAATGAGTATATAAAAAAACAACAACCCATAAGGCTTATGTAAGTACTTAGATAATTATGTATTGTTCTGATATATAGAACTAAGTACTTTCATTATACATGAGAGCAGAGAACTTTTATGTTAATAAAGGGCATAAGGTTACCAAAAAGTGCTTTTAAGAACTATAATAGTGCTTTTGGTGCTAACTGAATTAGATGACATATTAACAATAACCATATCTGCATAAAGATCGTGTCCATGAGGAGGAACATACTTTCCAGTGTAATTAAAAATGTACGGCATTTGTAATATGCTAAAAAAAATAATAATAATAATAATTTTAAAAAAAATTACAAATGTTTTTAAAAAATGTAAAAAAATTTATAAAAATTGTTACATATGGTTAAAAAAAGTAAATAAATCATAAATATATAGGAAATGGCATAATGTAAAGTCTGAGTTTAGTCCATATGGTATGAGAGTGTTAAAGTTAAAAATATATTTCCCAATTTTTTTTTTTTTATTCTTTATTTTTACTGTGCAAGAAAAATTACAAGCATAGAAGAAGTGCCACATCAGCACGCATAGATTAGTCAACAGAATATTCAAATAGGCACATGGAAACTGCACATTTTTTGGTATTACGTTGGAACATGCTAGGTACAGTTGTGATGTATAGTGAGGAAGACTCAGTAAGCATTTGTCAGGAAATAATATACCATGATGAGACAACAGGCTAGGCTAACTGACAGTAAGGGAATGATCAGCCAAGATAAGTATCGATGTGTGTATGCATTTTAAACAGCTTAGAGTCTCGCTTTGTTCAGTGTCAATATGAGTATAATCGGCATATAAAACATATTGAGATATCCTGTTTGGGGACAGTGTTATGTGTGCTGTAACCAGCTGGGCTAATGAGGGAACAAAGAAGATTACAGTTGAGAGAGCGTCCAATTATATCAGCCTATACATAGAGTAAGTCCTGTTCCTTCTGTCAGGGAGGGGACTGGTAGAGTAAAATAGTAACTTCAGCCGATGCCCATGGACGGGAAGCTGTGAGCAGGTAGATGCTTAAGTCTGCTGGGAGCCGCTTTGATCGCCGGCGTGCAGGGCGGTGTAGCCTCTTGGGCAAGCATTCTCCAGGTTGCTGTGGGTGTACGGTGGGGTGCTGAAGTAAGTTTCTGCGGTCTCTTGTGAGGGTACTCCTCGTGGTAAACGCAGATCATCCGAAGGGAGATGAAGTTGTGTAGGGGTAGCCCCTGTTGGTAGGTAGGGCCAGTGGCGGATCCAGAGCCTGATCTCGGGAGGGACACTTGTAGATTATTTAAAGAAATAATCCAGTAATCCAGACACAACAACCACTACAGCTCAGTGTAGTGGTTATGGTGTCAATAGTGCCGGGACCCCCTCCCAGAGTAAGTTTAAGAACAGTTTGACAATTTACCTGAGGTCTGCTGGGAAATTGGGCTGTAGTAGGGCATAGGAGCAGTGGTGTGTGTGAGTGGTGCAATGTGTAAGGGTCGCAGTGTGTGTGTGTGTGTGGGGGGGGACAGTGTGTGAGCAGTGTGTGTGTGTGAAGGTTGTAGTGTGTGAGTGAGGGTGGCAGTGTATGTCAGGGATGCAGTGTATGTGTGGGACAGTATGTGTGTGTAACAGTTGCAGTGTGTGTGTGTGAGTATTGCAGTGTATGCGTGAGTGTGGGCAATGTGTGTGTATGGGGTGGCAGTGTATGGGGCAGTGTGTGTGTATGGGGAGCAGTGTGTGTGTATGGGGGTAGTGTATGTGTGTAGTGTGTGTATGGAGGGCTGTGTGTGTGTATGGGGGGCAGTGTTTGTATGGGGGCAGTATGTGTGTGTACATGGGGGGGAGCAGTATATATGTGTATGGGGGAACAGTATGTGTGTATGGGAGCAGTATATGTGTGGTATAAGAGCAGTAATATGTAGCATAGGGCAGTGTGTGTGTGTGTATAGGGGAGCAGTGTGTGTGTGTATAGGAGCAGTATGGCAGCATACCAGGGAGCAGTATGTGTGTAGCACTAAGGCAGTATGTATGAGGGGGGCAGTATGTAGCTGTATAGGAGCAGTATGTGTATAGAGGCAGTATGTATATGTATATATATAGAGCAGTATGTGTGTATAGAAACTTTAGTAATATGTGTGTATATAGAAGTCAATATATGTATGTATATAGAAACGTATGTATATAGAAACGTATGTATGTATAGGCAATATGTATAGGAAACGAGAAAATATGTATGTATAGAGAGCAATAGTATGTATGTATGGGGGCAGTGTGTGTGTGTATGGGGGCAGTGTGTGTGTGTATGGGGGTCAGTATGTGTGTATGGGGGCAGTATGTGTATGGGGGCAGTGTGTGTGTGTGTGTATAGGGGGTTGTATGGGGGGCAGTGTGTGTGTGTGTGTGTATGGGGGGCAGTGTGTGTGTGTGTGCATGGGGGGCAGTATATGTGTGTATATGGGGGCAGTATGTGTGTATGGGGGCAGTGTGTGTGTGTGTGTATGGGGGCAGTATGTGGGCAGTATGTGTGTATGGGGGGCAGTATGTGTATGAGGGCAGTGTGTGTGTGTATGGAGGGGCTTGAGTAATATGTGTGTATGGGGGGGCGGTGTGTGTGTATGGGGGCAGTATGTGTGTATAGGGGGCAGTATGTGTGTATAGGGGCGGTGTGTGTGTGTATGGGGGCAGTATGTGTATGGGGCAGTATGTGTGTATGGGGGGCAGTGTGTGTGTATGAGGGGCAGTATGGGGGGCAGTGTGTGTGTATGGGGGGCAGTGTATGTGTGTAGAGTGTGTGTGTGTGTGTGTGTGTGAAAAGGATAGGGGGGCTTTTTTTTTTATAATATATACATAATGTTTTATTTAATTAAAATAAATATTTATGTCCCCCCTCCCTTCTTACCTTTACTGGGAGGAGGGGGGACATTTCTTAGTCCCTGGTGGTCCGGTGGGGAATCCCTGGTGGTCCCAGTGGGGAGAGTGAACTCTAGCCCGCACTCCAGGGCTAGAGTTCACTCTTGCGAGATTTGGACCGTTGCCGTGGTAACAAGCAGGACCTATCACCAGGGCTGGTACAAGGAATTGTGCCACCCTAGGTAAAGGGCCATTTTTACAAATTCTCAAACTGACTGAAACTCCCCTATATTTTACTAAACTGGGATTAGCATAGCATGGCCGGGCACATTGACCAAAAATTTTAAATGCCCTTTCTGATTCTCAGAATAATAATCACTATAACAGGGAAGCCTAAACACTGATCTGAGATTTTACTTTTTTTTACCAAAACAATTATTAGTTTTTTCAGTTTTCCTGTTTTTACCCCAAAATGTTTAATTGCCTGTGCAGTTCTTAAATACCATTAAACTCCGCCCACAAATCCCCCTAACCCTTTATGCTGACTAACCCCTACTCTCTCTCCTAAACATTAAATCCCCATAACTTAAAACAAGCTTAACCACCAATCTTTTCCTGAAATAACCACCACATCAAACCCTCTAATCTAAACCTTGTATTCCCCAGGTACAAAACAACCAGTTAATGAATAACCTGCAGGCTTATTCACTGAAGTGAGAATTGTTTGGAAATTTAAAGTTAATTTTAAATCTAAATCCAAAATAGTAGATCTGCAAAAATTCTTCAAATCCAGACCAGCTGGTTTTGCCTTAATTTGAAATTCACTAATTTAACACCCACAAAGTCTAATCTTAATGTGAAATCACAATAAATCTATATAACCCACAAACGGTAAATGTGTAATTTAAATCTAAATCTTGGTCATCCTCAACATAATCCAATCATAAAGTAACTTTTTTTTTTTTTTTTTATAAAAATTCACTGGAAAATTATATAGTTGTACTGAAATATAAAATACTAAATAATGCAACTTCCTGATTCTGTTTAGCCTAATTCTTGATAAACTAAAGTATACAGCCAGTTTTATTTTATTATTTATATAGCGCCATCAGATTCTGTAGCGCTGTACAATGGGATCAAACAAAACTAAAATCACAGCATGTCCTGTTGGAAGTTTATCTAGCCAGCTGATAATTCCAGTGACACAGGGCAGTCACACACAGCTGTGCTGCTTATATTTAAACAAAAGTAAGCTGCAATTAAATGTACCGTAATTAGTGCCTGAAACAATTCATTTTATGTTCCACTGGTCATGGGCGCAGCAAAGAAACTTCTGTGTGTTGGTTTGTGGGTAATTAATGTTCTTTAAAAGATTAAAAGCCTGAAGTTAAATCCAGACTATACAAAAAGTGATCATAAATTACAGTATCCAATCTCACATTGTCAAGGATGTGCAACTGTACATCTCTGTGCGATTCCGAATTACAAAATCTTAATTCTTTGAGTGTTCTTTATAAAGAAAAGTTTGGACAGAATTCTAAAACTGGTGCAATCAGGAGAGCATTGCACTGGTTTCCATGGTGATAGCTCCAATTTTAAAAAGTTGCCACATAATTGCTCTTTAAACATAGCCATTAAGCTGCACTGTGCAATCTCAGGCTAATTCAGTGTGTGTGGTGTTGTTGGTAGGAGGGTTTTTATATCAATTCATAAGTGTTTGGCTGTTAAACAATCACTTGTTGTTTTTTCCACAGACTCACAATTTCTAGTGAAAATTATAGTGAAATCTGATTTCTCAATAAAAAAAGGGGGTGGGGGGATAGATTTAGACATATCTCCAAAGCTGCTATTGTCACAGTTTACTGCAGTGTATGGGATGGAATTGTACTTTTAAACAAATCTCCACCCTTCTATTCTAAAATGTAAAGATTGAATTACGTAAGGTACAGTCCCAGAGCCTCCATGGTTCTCTGGACTTTGAGTGAATAGTAAGT